ATATACATGCTATTGATTTTTGTATGTTGATTTTGTAATCTGCAACTTTACTGAATTTCTTTATTAATTCTTACCTTGTTGGTAGAGTCTTTAGGATTTTCTGTATATAAGATTGTGTTATGTGCAAAAAGAGAAATCTTTCTTTTCAGTTTGGATGGCTTTTATTTTACTTGCCTAACTGCTTTAGTTAGAATTTTCAGTACTATGTTGAATAAAAGAAGTTATTATTGTCTTATTCCTGATCTTAGAGAAAATGTTTTTAGATTTTTACTGTTCAGTAGGATGTTAGCTGTGGACTTGTCATTTATAGTTTTGATTATGTTGAGGTACATTCCTTCTATCCCTAATTTGTTTAGAGTTTTTCTCACAAAAAGATGTTAAATTTTTTCAAATGCTTTTTCTGCATCTATTGAAATTTTAATATATTTGTATATGCCTTCTGTTAATGTGACTATCACACTTATTGATTTGCATAGATTGAACCGTCCTTGCACCCCACGAACAAATTATGCTTAAACTTTTTAATGTGTCATTGAATTTGGTTTGTATTTTGTTGAGAACATTTGCACGTATGTTGATCAGAGATATTGGCCTATTATTTTCTTTTCTCGTAACATCCTTGTCTGATTTTGGTAACAGGTCTCATAAAATGAGTCTGAGAGTGTTTTCTCTTTTTCAATGTTTTCTACGAGTTTGAGAAAGATTCACATTTATTCTTATTCCAGTGTTTGATAGAGTTCACCAATGAGGTCATAGGGTCCTGGGCTTTTCTTCTTGGAGAGATTTTTGATTACTGATTCAATCTCGTTGGTCACTATTGGTCTGTTTGTATTTTCTATTTCTTAATGATTCAGTCTTTGTAGATTGTATATTTTTAGGAATCTGTACATGTTACTTTAATAATTTTTAAGAGGATAGGATTCTGAAATGAAAATATTTGAGTTTGTGACCTGTAGTTCTAATTAATGACAAATCTAATATCCATTGTTGCCTCTAAAATGCTAGACTTATTCTAACTTGTTTTTTATAAGTGATCTAATTTTTTTCTGGGCCTTTTGGAATTTGTCTTTTAATCCTGGGGTTCTCTAAGTGTTTGGTGTTTTACCTTAGTGTAGGTATGTTTTGTATTCAAGTCACTAGGCTTTGAATCAGTCCTCCATCATGACAACTCCCGTTTATTGTTTTTTAATATTTTTATCTCCACTATTGCCTTTATAATTTCTTTCCAAATGTCTTTTTTTAACTTTTAATCTTTTAGGATTGATTGTTTTATGTTCTAATCATTTTTCCTGTTTTCTACTTCATTGTGTTTTTCTTCTACTTTTTGATAGATGTCCTTGATTTTTCCTTCATCCCTCTGTACTTTAGTTTCAGATTATTTCATCTTTAAATTTTATGAATTCTTTATTTTTCTCATATTGATACTTTTTAGTTTGTGACTCTATGTTTTTACTGGCATTATGTTATGTTACTTCTATTATTATTACATTTTCTCAAAGTTTTTTATATTGCTGAGTTTCCCCCATTATAGGTTTTTTTTTTTTTTTTTTTTTTTTTTTTTTTTTATTCTATTTGCCTCATTTGAGTGTTTGTTATGGTAGAGATATTCCTCAAATAACTGGTATTGCTTAGTTGTCTAAGAATTGGTTGTGTGTTTTTTTTTCCTCTCCTTCCTTAAACTCAATGCAAATTGTATAAAAGGAATAAAAATATACAAGACTTCTAAGAGCAAAGAGAATCAGAAATCACTGGATGTTAGTTATCAAGAACTTTGACTTGGCCCACAGAACCATGCAATGGCACCAGATCATGGGACTAAAGCCTAGATAACAGAATATTTTAAAGTCCTTAGAGTATCCAAATACCTACCTTGATCAACCCATCAACTGATCTCATGTTGCTTTTCCAAGTCCTAGGTGTTTATTCTGGAGAAAAACTGAACAGTTCGACACCAGTCTTGTAGATTATAAACACAGTGGATGGGAAAGTTGAAATATTGGAAAAAAGGTAGAATTCAGCAGAAGTCTGCATCTCTACAAAGCTCCTAAACTGAAAGTATGTACCTTCCCAGGCAGGGGAGAAAAGGGTGTGTATGGCTCAGGAAGACATAGCTAAATAAGTAGATAGGTAGATAAATTATCCTGGAGGAAAATCTCTCCACATTTCTTTGTGTTCATATGTATATTAGTGTTTACATTAACTATTTTTTCCTCCTTCATTCTACTTTATCTCATGCAAGTTAAATGATTAGCTATTTAATTCAAAGAGGTATTGTTACTGAACAAGAGCAAGCATGGATATGTTTTCGAGATGGATACATTAACACTTGGGGCTTGTGTCTCTCTGGAAAGAAAGTGAACATGTCTTCAATGGGTACATGTAATAGTTGCAGAAAGTTAGGTGGAAGCATTCTTTCATTGTTTTTGTTTGGAGGTGAATTATGGGTAAAGGGGGTATATAGATTCTCACTTGCATAAAAACCATGGCTTATACTTGATTATCTCTTTGCAATTGAACATCAGTGCCATCTCTTTCCAAGGGCTCCTCTGCAGTTTAAGGACAATATTTCTCAGCATTTCCTTCCAATGAGACACACATTCGTGAGGTTTAGAAGGTCAGGAAGAAGGAGAAGCCATTATTCTCTGTCGGCAGTGGCAGCCCCATGTGCTGGTAGATGCAAGATTTGCCAGAGCTCCTCAGAGTTTTTGAACACCAGCTTCAGGACCACAGATTTAGAAAGTCCCTGGTAGCTTCAGAGAGCCTGTTAAAAACTGCAGCAGCCACCAGTAGTCTCTTGAGAACCATTCTCTTCAGTGCTGCAGGCTGACATACTAAGCGTTATCTTCCCTAATCATTGAGATAGACTTCTTGAACTTTACCCACCATTTCTTCCAAAGGTTGTGTCAATCCCAAATTCCTATATTAAACAAGATTAAATAAAGGGACTTTTATGTTCCTTATCCTCCTGTAACTATAATAATATGGCCCCAATTCTTTTTCTCATGTGTCATGCCAGTATGTATTTCTTCCAGTGTTAGCACTCAGGTTCCTCTGACACGGAGGGCCCGACCTCTACAACCTTCCTTAGTCTTGGTCTTCTGGACTCTACTGAACTCTATGGATTTCCTTGATTTCTGATACGTGGTGCCCCTTTCATAGGTTATGCCACTGTATGTCAATCGCTGATAAGGCTTGCAGTAAGGGCGTCCTAGACATGGAGACATTAGGTCTGGTTAAATATGGTTGTATACATCCTTAATGTTGAGCCTCACTTTTTATGTAATTCTAATGACATATTTAATAGCTAAGAAGATATGACACAGAGGGGAAAGTGACTTATTAAAATGTGAACTGTAGGCTGGGCGTGGTGGCTCATGCCTGTAATCCCAGCACTTTGTGGGGCAGAGGTGGGCAGATCATAAGGTCAGGAGATGAAGACCATCCTGGCTAACACTGCGAAACCCCGTCTCTACTAAAGATACAAAAAAAATTAGCCAGGCATGGTGTCACATGCCTGTAGTCCCAGCTACTGGGGAGGCTGAGGTAGGAGAATCACTTGAACCCGGGAGGTGGAGGTTGCAGTGAGCCAAGATTATGCCATTGCACTGCAGCCTGGGTGACAGAGCAAAGCTCCATCTCAGGAAAAAAAAAAAAAACAAAAAAAACATTAATACTCATTAGTCTGCTTTGTATCCTATAATCAGTTAAAATGTGTGCTCTTATCTTTTTTTAAATTTAACTTTGCTAGACTTGCTATAACTATAATGCCATAAAGATATATAATATCATTGGAAATAGCAATTTCCATCATTTAAGCCATTATTTCAGTCATTCAGCCTTCTCTGGGAGTTCATAAGTGTTAATGTTTGCTTTTTTGTTTGCTCTTTCTCCAGAAATACAGTCACGCACACAGAACTGTACCTCCATACACTCACATGGATACATACATACATATATATTGACTCATCCAGTTGGAAAAAATCCAAATAAGTTCAAAACATGATGACATATTACCCCTACAACTTCAGCTTGCTTCACCTAAGAACAAAGTATATTGTATTGCATAAACAAGGCATTATCCCATCAAAAATAACTAATTCATTATTAACATCTAATATCATTTCTATCTAATATCTCAACCACTTTAAAATTTTTCCACTTGCTCACTTGTTCCAATAATAAATAGAGTGGTTTTTTTGTTTTGTTTCGCTTTGTTTTTGAGACGGAGTCTCGCTCTGTCGCCCAGGCTGGAGTGCAGTGGTGCCATCTCAGCTCACTACAAGCTCCAGGTTCACACCATTCTCCTGCCTCAGCCTCCTGAGTAGCTGGGACTACAGGGGCACATCACCACGCTCGCCTGTGTTTTTAGTAGAGATGGGGTTTCACCGTGTTAGCTAGGATGGTCTCAGTCTCCTGACTTCATGATCCGCCCACCTAGGCCTCCCAAAGTGCTGGGATTACAGGCATGAGCCACTGCGCCTGGCCTGTCTGTTTTTAACCAAGGCTACAAGGTTGCCATATGTCTTTTTAGTCCAAATAGTCCCTAAAGTTTGCTTTTATGTTTTTTCTTCATGTCGTTTAATTATCTAGTTCAAGTAACTTGATGAACACCCCACGTTTTGGATTTGTTTGATTATTTCTTCATGATGTTGTTTCCTGTAATGCCTTTCTATTTCATGCAAATTAGAATTTGAAGCAAGGGTTTGATCCAGTTCAAATTAAACATATTGGCAAACATGGCTCATTGGTAATAACATACAATTTTTCTATTATGGAAAAAATAGTGATAAGGTTCAGTATTTTGGCCTTCATTATTTAATTAAAATAATATACTATTAAATGAATAATTTAATTTGTTTTAGTTTGTAACTCTGTGGGAAATTTTCTCTCTGCCTAGTTGACACTGAGTAGCACAGGAGATAACACAGTTCATAGCAATTACGTAAAAATTTGTTTTGGCTATGTTATACAGATAGCAGTTTTATAGAATGACTCATGATTTGTGCCAAATGAATTTCAGCTAGAACTCTGCAAAGGCATTTACGTAAGGAAATAAAATAGTTTATTCAGCATGTGAATCCCCTCTGAATGTGACCAGATGGAAATTAATTGGGGATTTCTTTGTCTTTCTGTCCTTTCGTATAGACTTCAATATAACTTTCCTAAATGAATTAAAAGATGAACTCTTTTATGTTCAAAACCTTAATATCATCTCATTAATGAACACATGACAAAGTGATTTTGATAGAGATATGCTTGCCATTGTCATTCTAGTCATTGTTAACACCAAAAAACGATGTTGTCTGTATTAGCTGGAACATTCTAAGTGCCTTCAGGTTTAATTCAATCATTTCATTGAACATCAAGAACCAATATAAATAGTATTCAAATAATGCCATGTGAGAGGATTCTGGGCTTGCATTGAGACTTGTTCTTTTTTTACTTATGGAGCTGATTTGCTGTGAGACTTCAAGGAGGGCAAGGGACACACTCTGTACCTCCTGTGAAGCTCCTTAGGAAACATCTGACCCAACTCTCTTGAGCTGTACATGAAGAAACTCCAACCCAGAGAGGGTAAGGCTGAGGATGGTAGCATTTGAAGTACAGCAGTGTAAAGACATATAAAAGGGTCTGGGGGGGGCAGGCAGGCCCCAGCCACATCTGCTTTCCTGCCAGCATCCCCATGCCTGGGCCATGCCAGCCCACCAGTGGGTCTCCAGATTCCACGTACTCTCTCTGCCCTCATGGGTCTTCATATGCAGCTTTTTCAACTGGAATGCCTGCTTCCCATTCCTCGCCTCCCCACCCCCAACAACCTTCTCCGGAGACACAGCCGAAGGACCCTCCTTGCTTAAAGCTGGTGCTGATGTAGCTCCCACAGGAGCTGGGAGCCACACTCTTCCTCAGCAAATTTCTATAGCACTATTGCTTCTAACAGGGCCCATAGCAGCACACCTAGAAGGGGGCAGCCTCTTATGAAAAGCAGACACCTATCAGAAGTTCCTCCTACTTCAGAAGGAGAGGGGCCCAGAGCTCTGAGTTGGCAAAGGGCTCCCAGGCAATGTACTGGGAAGCATCACTACTGTGGTGATTTTGCTAGTGACCCTTACCTTTCAATTTCCTCCTAGCAGACTCTAAGTTTCTCGTTGCCGGGGACCTTATTTCATCTCCAGTCCTCTCCTGAGTGTCACTAAATGTAGGCTAGATCGATACATATGTAAATGGAGATTTAAATAAGTTACAGTTCTGATTCTTTAACTGAAGAATCTTGTGAGTGAGGAAAACTCATTTCTACCTATATCAGTTCACTATCCTTCCAAGAACACATATCCTACCATGTTTTGCAAATTTGATTATTTAATAGCTGCCAGTATTACATTTTACACGATTTATTTTTGTCTCCTTTCCCCATCCAATTCTACATAGATATTAGCAAGTTAGAAAGCAGGACGTTTTACTAAGGAGGAAGAACAGTGCCTGCCCACCTTACCTACGAACCCTGGCCCAGTGCTGTGTCGGTGCTTTCTGGCCTCACTCCAACTGCTACAAATGTTTCCTTAGGCTTCTCTCACATACCATAGTCTTCTATTAGGTTGGTGCAAACGTAATTGCAGTTTTTGCCATTACTTTTAAAGGCAAAAGTAGCAATTACCTTTGCACCAACCTAGAAGATTTAGTAAGTCAACTAAACTTTCTTTTCTCACCAGTAAATATATTTCAGGATAACCCAGCATAAACCGGCAAAGAAAAAAAAACAAGAAAAGAAAACAAACACTGACTCCATTTCTAACCTCTTTATCTAGGCAAACTATTCTCACAGTTAGACTGGACCATCTTAATATACCACTCGTGTCTTCATGACATGAGAGCATTTCAGGACAATGACACTCCATGCTCTGTGTTGACACTCCACGTTCCTTTGTTCTGGTGGTTTGCTTTAAGGTCCAAGTCACATCAGAGACAAGGAACACGTTCCAGCACACGTCACCACAAGTATGGACACACTGGTTCAAACTCTGATCTGGATTGATTTAAACTTAATCTTAAGTAAAAAGAGGGTGTGGTCCGTCTGCAGTCATTGCTTTGATTTAAGCACAGAACTTTCTGCTGGGTTATTTTGTACTCTCACCTAAAGATTTAGTCTGGAATGAATAAATCACACCTCTCATGCTTCCACAGATATTGTAGGCCAAGCTGATGGGCAGTGCCTCTGACGGTCAGAGTGAAAAATCAGCCACAAACCGGAGGGAATGAGGAATGCAGCAATGAGACCTCTTTACAGGAACCATGAATAGCTGTTGTTTTTTGGCTTCTAACAGAGAGAAGATCACTCTTGCTGGAAGCAAAGGGAGTATTTTTTTTAGTAACTGCGCATTTAGTATGGAGGTAATTTAAGTGCGTGTTTTTATGTGTTGCTGCTGTTGACTATCACAACCAGTTTTTCTAATTCTCTAAATGTTCAATACATCTTTCATGCCCCAGGAAGGGAGTGGCATCATTCTTAGATTCTTGTTGCATTCAGTTACTTTTAAATAACCTATGGCTGGCGGGCATGATGGCTCACACCTGCAATCCCAGCACTTTGGGAGGCTGAGGCGGGCGAATCACAAGGTCAAGAGTTCAAGACCAGCCTGACCAACATGGAGAAACCCCGTCTCTACTAAAAATACAAAATTAGCCTGGTGTGGTGGCACACGCCTGTAATCCCAGCTACGCAGGAGGCTGAGGTGGGAGAATTGCTTGAACCTCGGAGGCGGAGGTTGCAGTGAGCCGAGATCATGCCACTGCACTCCGGCCTGGGCAACAAGAGCGAGACTCTGTCACAAAAATAAATAAATAACCTATAGCTTTTTATTTTCATAAACATAGAGGAACTAAAAGAGGGTAGGCTTTAGGATTTTATGTTATAGGTCACAGTAATAATCAACACAAGGAATACAGCCTGGAAGTTACATTGCCTACTCTGTTATGGTTTAAGAGGTGTCCGCTGTCATCACTTCACGGCTACTTGGCTTATGCATTTCAGGCTGTCAGCGGTGATGGCTGTACCCTGCAGGTCTTTTTTCTCCTCTTGCTCTCCTCCTGGTTATTTAAGCTTGCAATCGTGCACCGCCTATCTGCAACGCCTCTCGGAAGTCCCCTTGGAAGAAACAGGCTTTGTCTAACATCCTATACATAGTTGCCTCACACATCTCTCACCAAGCACAAGCTACACATGTAGCTTTTGAGCTAGATACCTTATTTTACGGGACTAGTTTTCTTCCAAAATTTGTCAAAGTAACCCCCAGTTATCTTTCTAACAGCCCCATTAATGTCTGTTTTATGTAAAGCAGGGTTTCTCAACCTCAGCCTATTGACATTTTGGGGCAGACAGTGCTTTGTATTGGGTGCTACCCCCTGCACTGCAGGACATGCTCCCATTCCCTGGCCTCTGCTCACTGGATACCAGGAGCAGTCCCCCTTCCCCAACTATGACAACCAAAAATGTCTCCAGACTTTGCCAAATGTCTCTTTAGAGACAATGTACCCCTGTTGAAAACAGATGTAAAATATCTGAAAATTTTATACAGATCAGAAAACGGAGGCACTGCACGTTAATTATTCTGGTTTCTACCATCACGTATATACTGTGGACCTTCACGCTATACCAGTGTGGCTTCGCATTGGCCTCATAACATAATTCATTCAACTTATAGAACACTTGGCATTTACCAACAACTACGCAGATATTTTTAAAAGACAAATTTAAAATATGACTACATTTCCCTTTCATTTACTTTCTCACTGGCATTTGCATTTATAAGTGATCTCTCATCACCCTTAACATTTTTTTGAAAGCAATTCGTGATTATTAATCTGCAATCAGTGAGTCATACATTGAGAGGAAGAATTTAAGAGCTTTCTGAGACCTCAATGATGACGAATAGTTCCTGGGATGTCTAGGGCTAACGCCCTGGTGGGACTGTGGGGCTGGGAGCAAAGGCAAGGCTGGACTTGGAGAATCTGAAACGTGAATGCGGAGGTGAAACCCAAGGGATTTTTGGAAACTGAAGACAAAGAAAGAGTCAGAGCTGCTGCTATCCAAGCAGAGGAGGGGCTGGGGAATTCCTGTGGGTCTGGGGATGCACAAAAGACATACCTTTGAGGAAATAGCAAGTAAGACTCAGCAGAGAATTAGGAAGCAAGAAAATGCAAGCCCAAAGTTCAGAGACTTGGGACCAGGAATCTACAAGAAGTGAAAGGAAAACCTAGGTGCCCCTCTGCTTACCCCTGGGAAGTGATAAGGCTGGTGCCATCTCAGAGGCTCTGGAGTCAGCGCCATATCCTCTGCCCAGCCAGAAAGCTCCCTGTAGACTTCGTGGGAGGGGAAGCCCCTGTTCAATGAGAAGCTAGGTGGGTGGGTTGGTTTACACAAGAATTTGGGGACAAGAACCACAACTATCATTTCTGGTGTCTACCCTTCATTCCCGACAAGTAATAAGAGCATGATGAAAAATTCTGATGAATGAAGGAACTCCGGTGAGATCACCCTAACGAAATCATAAGTCAACATGAATTTGCTTCTGCAATTCAATTATAGTAATTACGTGTCAATTTCTTAAAAGTTATAAATTGAATAAAGCTCTCAGGATGCATCTATTCCAAAGTAGAAATGTGAAGAGGACCTTACTACAGTTTATTAAAATCCCCTTTAGAATGTATACAGGTTAACGATTTTAACATAAATAGATGTATTCCTTTTTATAATCTTTATGCAGAAGGTTGAAAAGAGGTCACAGATTTAAAATGATACTGATTATTATCTTATTAAAAGATATAGAAAAACTGAATATTTTAATTTTCATTATTATACACATTTTGTTCAGTGTAACAGGATCCACCTGGGCTTTGAGTTGCATTTATGAGGCTGTCAGGGGACATGCAGGAAGCTTGATGGGCTGATCAGGGCAAGGAGCATAGCAAGGATTCTACGTGAATAAGGTGTGATAAAGCCATTTGGAAAATGTCACACACCATGGAGGGCAAAGGAAACTGGGGCTTTGTTCAGGGGATGCTTCCCGTGGTGGACACACCCATGTGACCCCCAGTGAATTGGGCCCTGGGTAATGCTCTCCCCTCGGGTATGAGTGGAAACTTTAGCTTGTTTCTCATCCATATAACCTGGCAAATGTGGTGGGATCTCACAACCTCCATGACTATTCCATCTGGGCAAACTGGAGAGAAGAACTTCTCCTGCCCACAGAAGAGGACAGTTGTCATGTTGTAATGGCATTACACAACATGGAATTGCAGGGTCCTCTGGGGGCTGAGTGTGGCCACTGGCGAACAGCCAGCAAGAAAATGGGAATAGCACGCCTACAACCAAGAGAAGACAAATAAGGCCAACAATCTGAAAGAGGTCCAACGTGGATTCTGTAACATTTGAGCCTCCAGATGAAACTGCATCTTGGCTGGCATCTTATTTTACATATGTGAGACCCTGAGAAAGTGACCCAAACTGTGGGATAATAAATATACATTGCTCAAATCCACTAAGTGTGTGGTGAATTGTTCTACTGCACTAGAAAATTAATACACTGAGTATAATTTGTGCTTGTCACTGACAAGGATATATTACCCAGGGCAAAGATTTTGCAAAAGGACAAAAAATGAAAAAATGAAAGTGTTATTTCCCCAAAATGTCAGGGAGGTTGAAAATTTAAGGAACCCACTACTTGGATTCCTATGCCATTGATAGCAGGAGGAAATTATGATATAAGCAAAGACTCATGTCCTTCTGAACCCGAATTCAGTGGATTTCTTAGCAGAGGACTTTCAAGGGGAGATGGGTGTCCCCTTGGTGCACACAGAGCCCCCACACTGGCAAGCCATCAGGCGTGGTTGGGAGGCAGCTGCAGTGGGGGAACTTCCTCAGCAGGCATCGACACCTACACAGTATGTGTATACTGTTTTAGATCATGAAGTGACTGAGTACGTCAGCTCAGGGGTGGTGGTGAAAAAGGAGAGGCAGTAGCAGGCTCCAGAGTGAGGACAACATAACACAGGTGAGGTAGCACCTAAGGATCGTAGGAATGCTTTGAAAAGGCTGGAATTTCTACAGAAGCTGGGAATAATCCATTTTGACCATTGCCACCAGGTTATGAGAAAAAGACAGGCCTGGCCTGTGGAAAGCAGTTTCCGAATTAGTTCTAAATAGGGCATCTGTGAGTCAGCATGGGAACTGACTTGGATAGGTGCCCTCAAGATCTCATGATAAGATATAGTCTTCTTAATTGTGAGTTTCATAAGAGCACACCTATGTTCTAGTTTATCGCCTTCTAACCACCTTAGCATATGTCATTCATACTTAGTTATAATCGATATATTTATTTAGGATCAGAACTAGCTGACTCTGATGGTGATATGGTTTGAATTTGTGTCCCCGCCCAAATCTCATGTTGAATTGTAATTCCCAATGTTGGAGGAAAGTTTTGGTGGGAGATTATTGGATCAAGGGGGCGGATTTCTCCTTTGCTGTTCTGGTGCTAGTGAGTGAGTTCTCATGAGATCTGGTCATTTAAAAGTGTTCAGCACCTCCTCCTTCATCCTCTTCCTCCTGCTCTGGCCATGTAAGACATGCCTGCTTCTCCTTTGGCTTCCACCATGATTGTAAGTTTCCTGAGGCCTACCCAGAAGCAGAAGCCTGTAGAGCTTGCAGAACCATGAGCCAACTAAACCTCTTTTATTTATAAATTACTTAGTTTCAGGTATTTCTTTATAGTTGTGCAAGAACAGACTAATATGGATGGGTTGATGGTTCAAAACTAGGTGTGCAGATAAAACAACTGCTTCTTCAATCTATGTCCTAGTCAAAGGGCTTGCTTCTCATGACTACAAGAGAGGCTTACACTAAAAGGTACTGCTTCTGAAACTCTGGACTCCACAGAAAAATTACACATACTCTAGAATTTACATTTCTGTTTGGAAGCCAAAATACTTTCTTATATCATGCTATATATTAACCACAGTTTTTCCTTTCTTTGTGGAAAGGTGGACTTTGTCTCTTGAAAGAGTTATGTCTGCTTATGAATTAAAATAGTCATTTGACTTTGAAGCTGTAAAAATCTATTAAGATTATAAAATGTCTATTTTTTCTACATTTCCTCTTAACCTCAACACAAAAACCTGAAGAGAGTATTATTTTGAAAGAATCAACTGGTGGTGTGGGTTTTGTATTCTAGATTGTTTTTGAGTGGTTGGGCTGATTTCTGAAATTATTTCATGTTTCCAATCTTCAATGAGATTTTAAAATCAGAACAAATGGACTTTGATGGCTTGATCACATAGAATCACACGTAGAACACCTGGGGTCTTATATTATCTTCTTTCTAAAATGGACTTTTAAACATTTCAGTTAGACAAAAGCAGGGAAGGAGGGAAAATGGGAGAAAAGGAGAGAAAGAGAGAGAGAGTGAGAAGATGTAGATAATATGGTTGCTAA